CGCCCCGTTACCCGGGCTGGGGGCCCTGCCCGGGCCGGGGGGTCTGGTGGGGCCTAGCGGGAGGCGGGGCCTTGCTGTGCCCCGGGGGGTGTGTGTGTGTGTGTGTGTGTGTGTAGGGGGGTCCCCCGTCAGGGAGCCGGGGTGTGGGGGGGGACCGACACCTTCGGTGTATCCCCCGTTGTGCGTCCGTAAGGGGTTGTGGCATGTCCCGGGGTGGTCGTGGTGGGATTGTGGTGTGTCTGGGGGGCGGCGGGGGGGGGCACTGTGCCATGTCCTGGGCTGTGTTAGGGTCTCTGGTGTGTCCCCGGGGGCGGTGGGCTGCGGTGTGTCCCCTGGTGATGTTGGGCCGGTGGCCATGGCGTGTCCCCTGGGATGGTGGGACAGGGTCTGTGGCCTGTCCCCAGGGAGCACAAGGGATTGCTGTGGCCTGTGCCCCGGGGTGTGGGGAAGGCCGTGGCCTGTCCGGGGCGGGGGCACAGGGCACAGCCGGGGGGTTGCTGGGTTTGTGCAGGAACGTGGGGTGCTGGGGCTGTGCCAGCATGCGAGGAGCAGGTGTCCTGCTCTGGGCTGGGTGTGGGGGTCCCCGAGGAGCAGCGGGTTGGGGCTGGCTGGGGAGACAGTTTCTGAAAGATGTTGTTGTTGATGTGCTGTTGCTGTAATGGGTGTGCTTGTTCTCGGTCCCCCTCTTTCTCCTTGCCGTGGCAGCATTTGGATGTTTGAACGCTCAGATTTTTAAGTCCTTCCTCACATCTAGCTACTTTCGACATCTGCTTTACAGTGCTGTGTGCTTGTCCATTGCTTTTGGACTGGGAACAAATACTTCAGCTCACACCCGCCAAAGAGTGTGTGTGTGTGTGTTTATACTTCAGAAATCAGCCCAGAGGTTTTAAAATGGTGGTTGCTCTGTGAGGGATGTGGTGGTGCTGGGCATTCGGAGCTTCCAGAAAATAGTAGCCCAGAGGTCCACATTCCTCAGATAGCTGCAGGATGTGGGTGCTGAAGGCAGGAGCAGTGTGGGCTCCTCGCTGTTTTGTTCTCAGTGTTGGGCTTCTCCCTTGTTTGAAACAGCTTGAGACACCAGAGCTTTTTGTCAAGGCCACGTTGTGATGGCTGTTACTGGTGTTTTCCTGCTTAAAGATTCCCCTTGGGCCTCCCTTAATGGAAACCCTGTTCTGTATTTGCAGGGGCTCAGTGCTGCTTGCTTGTCAGCAATGGCAAAGCCTCAGAGCAAGGATTCTGGACTGAAGGAGAAGTTCAGGAATCTCCTGGGGCTGGGAACATCCCGGGGAAGCTCAAAGTCATCAGAGGGCAAGCAAACGGAGTTTATCATCACTGCGGAAATACTCAAGGTGTGAGAACTGGCCATAGTAAAGGTGGGGATAGTGCCTGGATTACCTGACCTGAGAAGATTAGAAGGAGGGCTTGCTCATTCTCCTTGCTGTTTTGACATGCATTCCCTCTCAGATCATGCCTTTTTACCTTGTATCTCAATTCATTCTCTGGTGAAATGGATGTAAAACTCACCTACTTCAAAGTTACAGCATTTTAGTTATTCAGTGGTTGAATACTTTTGAGATATTTGATAGGATGGTGTTGCCTTATGTTGGGTTACAGGGTGTTTCCTCAAAATACGTTGCTCTTTTTTTATAGTCTGAGCTTGATGAAGTTTATGTGGTGGCAGTTAGCACAAGCTGGAAACTGTTTCTATTTTATGAAAACGTTACGGTTTTGTGAAAATGAAAAAAAAAAAAAAATTATTCCAGTAATTGGTACTGCAAGTCTGTAAACAGAATAGTTGGCACACAGGGAGGGAAACGCATAAAAGGGAGAAGGAGACCAGAATCCCTTCCTGTCTGTGCTGGAGCAGCCAAGCTCTTACCCGCTGGAAGGCTGGGAAGCTGGACTTAACGTCCCTCCTTTCTCTCTCCTTCTCCCGTGAACTGGGTGAGCGCCACAGCCATCGAGTTACTAAATTTTCTGAAGAAAATTAGGTATTCTGTCCTGGAGGTGAAGAGCTGCTTGGCTCCAGTTCTGTGAAGGTTCTAGTTTTGACCAATCATTTGCTAATGGAAAAAAGTTTTTGGAGAAATTCCTGAAAAGCTCCAGTGATGACTAATGGTTAGATCATTTTGGACAAATGTGTAATTTATTTTTCAGTGTTTCATGATCCCCTTTGAGAAATGAATAAGTGTTTCTAGTAAGATAAACTGTTAGCTTATTTCTACATTTCTTTCCAGGAACTGAGCATAGAATGTGGATTAAGTAATAGGATACGAGCAATCAGTCAAATTTGTGAAGTGGCAAAGACAAAAAAAATTGAGGAGGTAAGTTTCAAAGTGTTCAGTGAATATTGGAAGGATGAAAATTTAAGCAACAGCTCTTAACCTATCGTAAGAGGCTCCTGTAGTTTAGACTGCCTTTTAAAATTGGTAATCCCAGAAGCTGTTTTGTGCTGTCCAAACCTGTAAAAGGATGGCTCACATGCCAAGGAAATTAGTCTTGTCCAACCTACCAACTGTGGAGCAGAGAGGACATAGCTGACGGGCTTCCTGAACTGAATGGGAAGAGAATGCTGCGAATGTTCAGGCCCGTTCAGGACAGTTCGTGGGAGATGATGTTAATCCTGTAGAAGAGGTGTTTGCTAGCTCATTCTGTTTTGTTAATAAGCAACCTCAAATTGGTTTTACTCATGTTGTATTTGGGTGAAGGTTTCTGCACAAAAGTTCAAACTGAAGTAAGTGTGTGAATGAAGAACTTCAGTTACTGGGGTGCAAGTTGTCAGGTAGGATGGGATTTGGTGTCTCTCATGTGGTTCATCTGAGCTTATGACTGGGCAGGTGAGAGTGTCCCTCAGAAAAGAGAACTATGGACATGAAATCCCTGGAGATCTTGTTCATTAACTTGCCATAATTAATGACTGACCTATGGGTTAAAGATCCCAGAAGCAGCTTAATTTTCCTACTACTGCCTGTCTCCTATGTTTGTTTTCAGCATGCAGTGGAAGCAATATGGAAAGTGGTAGCTGATATGCTCCAGCCAGAGCGCCCTGTGGAAGCCAGACATGCTGTTCTTCATCTGCTAAAGTCAATCGTTCAAGGACAGGTGAAAACAAACTAACTGTAGAAGAAACACTACACTTAAACTAGGGTTTGCGCAGAGAATGAATGTGAAAAATATTGGGTGGCTCTTTTCTATAACTTTCCATGTTTCTTATTTCGGTTGTGCCTAGTGACTGGGAAGAGGAAGCGTTTTAATTTAAGTCTTGGTTTGACCTCATAGCAAAACTTTTCATACAACTCATAGAAAACTTTTCTGGTTTGGGGCAACATTCTTGAAAAAGAGGAAATACTTTGGGTTAAATTCAGCATAGTACAGCAAATTTTGTATGGTCTTTGCCCAGACCTGTTAGTCCTAGTCTGCAGCTGTTTTTGATGTTTCAGCATGTCAAGTATGCAAGAAGTTCTGTATGAGATGCTTTTCTAGCCTGGCCAAGTTAAGCATACTATGAATTCTTGAGATTTCACAAAGTGTTATACAAATGTAAGACTGTATCAAACCAAAGTTCTAGTTTTCATTATTCTGAAAAAATAGGGGTAGATGCTTATGAAAAGAATAGGCATTGATTCTGGTTTGCTGGCTTGGTTTTTTTTAAATGCTCTACTGGCAGTGCTGTCAGTTGCAGTTTCAATGGATTACTTTGTGTGTTGGATGCTGTTTGTGTGTTGCTGGACAAAATGCCTCCAGCCCTGAGTGCTGATAGAACAGATAGAGAAGACCTGAGTGATTGTCAGTGGAGGTTGGAGGTATTTTCAGGAGACTTTCATAGCCTGTAGGAAAAGAAAATAATTTCAGGCGTGAAGATTACTGTTATAGACCTTGATAAGGTCCATGCCTTAACTGTCTTTTTTCATTAGTGACACTGTTATCCACTCTCCTCCCTGCTTTTTTTTTTAAGGGTGAGAGATTAGGGATCCTCAGAGCACATTTTTTTAAGGTTATTAAGGACTATCCTTCCAACGAAGACTTGCATGAACGGCTTGAAGTGTTCAAGGCTCTAACAGAGAATGGACGATATATCACCTACTTAGAAGAAGAGTTAGGTGAGTATTGTCTCTACCCCTCTTTAATTTGGTGGGAATAAGTCAAGGGACAGGCATCCAGTGACATGAGAAAAAGGTAGGGATAACACTTTTGGGTAGAAAGCATATTGTCACAATTTGTTTTCCTTCTTTAGCTGACTTTGTACTACAGTGGATGGATGTTGGTTTGTCTTCTGAGTTCCTTCTGGTTTTAGTGAACCTGGTGAAATTCAATAGCTGCTATCTGGAAGACTATGTAGCTGACATGGTCCAGTAAGTTGGGGTTTTTTTGTTTGTTTTTTTTTTAACTCCTACATGCTTATTCTTGGTAAATTACAGGAGAAAGCTGCAAATCAATATACAGATAAGTGGAATCTTTTTCATCCGATCGGGATCTGTTTCATTCCAGGTCATACCTGACATTTCTGACAAATACTTGATTTTCCCTTCTTACAATGTTCAGATCTGTTTTAGTTTAACGGCATGTGCTTTTCCCATTTCATGTGGTGGACCTGATTGCATTTCTCAGTCTTACAACAGGTCTCTGCTTTTGTATTAGTGTAGGAATACTGAGTTGTATTTAAGTGCAACTTTAAACTAACTTTATAAAGAGGTTGTAGTGTTCAGTGTCTC